CTGACCACATATATTCCTAATTACACTAACACACCCCCTTAAGCACAAGGTTGAAGGGAAACAACATTGAGATTTTCCCCCAAAAGCCCATAACGTGGAGCCAGTAACGGCTTCGTGAAAATATCAACGCTTCTTTTCCTGAATAGGTTGTTGTGGTTTAGTGGTTATCACGTTAGTTTTACACACTAAAAGTCCCCAGTTCAATCTTGGGCACTGATGCATTTATCTTTTGCAGAGTTCCTTCCCAGTTATTATCTTGGGCATCAACATTTATCTTCTGTAGAGCTCCTTCCGTATCAACACATTTTAACGATGGAAGTTCATCTGATTTTGGGGGATAACTCAACAAACTTTTTGTATAATTTCGTCTGTTGGCCTTCTTGAATCTTGATACGTGCAATTACCTGTCTAATGCATTTCTTGATTAACTCTTTATTAACCGTTTTGATTAGAACCGATCATCTCTTCTTGGTTAGGGTTGACCTTTGGCTTTCTTTTTTCAATTTCAGATTTTATTCATTTTAACTAGTTGGTGTGGTGAAGTGGTTAACACGTCAGTTTTACACACTGAAGGTTCCCAGTGCAATCCTGGGCATCAACATTTGCATTTATTTGTGTAATTTACTTAACGTACACAACCTAGAGTACATTTATGTTCTGTGTGTCTTATAGTCTCACGAGAAGATGTCGTCTCACTCTAACATTAGTCTCGTTTGTTTATGTTTTTTTTGGGGGGGAGGGGGAGAATTTGGTTTTATTTTTTAAGGTGCACTGCGCCAAGGCACTAAAAGTGCGAAAGTGACAACAAAAGGAAGCATGGAACACGCCAATTAAGAGTGTTTTGTGTTGCAAAAGCTATGCTTCGGTATTATTTAGTGATGGTGTTTCCCTCTAAAACGGTTATTACACTAGTTGATCCAACATTTTTGCCTTAGGTCATAGTTATACATTCTTAACATATTTACTTTTACGAAAAAATTTGATAATCTTGCATTGATATACTTCATGATACCAAATGATACTTTATTTGATAAATACTGAAACACTAATTTAAAAATACACATTGAGCATTGCACTATTCGCGCAATACACATGTCGTAACTAGTATATATATATATAAGGGTTCAAGTGAAAAAGAAGCCACAGGTAAAACGTGCGATTTCATCTCAACCATTTATCAACTCATCTTTTTTAAAAAAAAAATTCGTCACATGCGATCCACAATAATGTGCATTAGAAGGCACAACAATGTGCTCTGGAATGGATAACACACTACAAAAAATGGGATATTTAACGACACACACATAGCGACAATTATATATAACCGCCGCGTAAATATATATTTAGTGGTGGTTGCAACGATGAGAGGAAGAGTTTTTTTATTAATTGAATATCTAAATACAGAATGTGATAATACAGAATACAAGTAATGTAGTTTTTCATATACAATAGGTTACCAGTTAAGTCAAACTAATCCTGACCCCATATATTCCTAATTACACTAACACACCCCCTTAAGCACAAGGTTGAAGGGAAACAACATTGAGATTTTCCCGCAAAAGCCCAAAACGTGGAGCCAGTAACGGCTTCGTGAAAATATCAACGCTTCTTTTCCTGAATAGGTTGTTATGGTTGAGTGGTTATCACGTTAGTCTTACACACTAAAACTCCGTAGTTCAATCTTGGGCACTGATGCATTTATCTTTTGCAGAGTTCCTTCCCAGTTATTATCTTGGGCATCAACATTTATCTACTGTAGAGCTCCTTCCGTATCAACACATTTTAACTATGGAAGTTCATCTGATTTTGGGGGATAACTCAACAAACTTTTTGCATAATTTCGTCTGTTGGCCTTCTTGAATCTTGAATCGTGCAATTACCTGTCTATAGAATTTCGTGATTAACTCTCTATTAACCGTTTTGATTAGAACCGATCACCTTTTCTTGGTTAGGGTTGGCCTTTGGCATTCTTTTTTCAATTTCAGATATTACTCTTTTCAATTAATTTGTGTGGTGTAGTGGTTATCACGTTATTCTTACACACTGAAGGTCACCAATTCAATCCTGGGCACCAACATTTTCATTTATTTGTGTAATTTACTTAACTTGAGGGTACACAACCTAGAGTACATTTATGTTCTGTGTGTGTCTTATAGTCTCACGAGAAGATGTTGTCTCACTCTAACATTAACCTCGTTTGTTTATGTTTTTTTTTTTTTTGGGGGGGGGGGGGGGGGAGAGAATTTGTCTTATTTTTTAAGGTTAATTGCGCCAAGGCACTAAAAGAGCAAAAGTGACAACAAAAGGAAGCATGGAACACGCCAATTAATAGTGTTTTGTATTGCAAAAACTATGCTTCGGTGTTATTCAGTGAAGGTGTTTCCCTCTAAAACGGTTATTACACTAGTTGATCCAACATTTTTGCCATAGGTCATAGTTATACATTCTTGAAATATTTACTTTTACGAAAAAATTTGAGAATCTTGCATTGATATACGTCAAGATACCAAATGATACTTTATTATTTGATAAATACTGAAACACTAATTTAAAAATACACATTGAGCATTGCACTATTCGCGCAATACACATGTCGTAACTAATATATATATAAGGGTTCAAGTGAAAAAGAAGCCACAGGTAAAACGTGCGATTGCATCTCAACCATTTATCAACTCATCTTTTTTAAAAAAAATTCGTCACATGCGATCCACAATAATGTGCACTGGAAGGCACAACAATGTGCTCTGGAATGGATAACACACTACAAAAAATGGGATATTTAACGACACACACATAGCGACAATTATATATAACCGCCGCGTAAATATATATTTAGTGGTGGTTGCAACGATGAGAGGAAGAGTTTGTTATTGATTGAATATCTAAATACAGAATGTGATAATACAAAACACAAGTAATGTAGTTGTTCATATACAATAGGTTACCAGTTAAGTCAAACTAATCCTGACCACATATATTCCAAATTACACTAACACACCCCCTTAAGCACAAGGTTGAAGGGAAACAACATTGAGATTTTCCCCCAAAAGCCCAAAACGTGGAGCCAGTAACGGCTTCGTGAAAATATCAACGCTTCTTTTCCTGAATAGGTTGTTATGGTTGAGTGGTTATCACGTTAGTCTTACACACTAAAAGTCCCCAGTTCAATCTTGGGCACTGATGCATTTATCTTTTGCAGAGTTCCTTCCCAGTTATTATCTTGGGCATCAACATTTATCTTCTATAGAGCTCCTTTCGTATCAACACATTTTAACGATGGAAGTTCATCTGATTTTGGGGGATAACTCAACAAACTTTTTGTATAATTTCGTCTGTTGGCCTTCTTGAATCTTGATACGTGCAATTACCTGTCTATAGCATTTCTTGATTAACTCTCAATTAACCGTTTTAATTAGAACCGATCATCTCTTCTTGGTTAGGGTTGACCTTTGGCTTTCTTTTTTGAATTTAAGATCTTATTCATCTTAACTAGTTGGTGTGGTGTAGTGGTTAACACGTCAGTCTTACACACTGAAGGTCCCCAGTTCAATCCTAGGCATCAACATTTGCATTTATTTGTGTAATTTACTTAACATGAGGGTACACAACCTAGAGTACATTTATGTTATGTGTGTCTTATAGTCTCACGAGAAGATGTCGTCTCACTCTAACATTAGCTTCGTTTGTTTATGTTTTTTTTTTTTTTGGGGGGGGGGTGGGGGGGTGGGGGGGAAGGGGGAGAATTTGGTTTTATTTTTTAAGGTGCACTGCGCCAAGGCACTAAAAGTGCGAAAGTGACAACAAAAGGAAGCATGGAACACGCCAATTAATAGTGTTTTGTGTTGCAAAAGCTATGCTTCGGTATTATTTAGTGATGGTGTTTCCCTCTAAAACGGTTATTACACTTGTTGATCCAACATTTTTGCCTTTGGTCATAGTTATACATTCTTGAAATATTTACTTTTACGAAAAAATTTGATAATCTTGCATTGATATACGTCATGATACCAAATGATACTTTATTATTTGATAAATACTGAAACACTAATTTAAAAATACACATTGAGCATTGCACTATTCGCGCAATACAACTGACGTAACTAGTATATATATAAGGGTTCAAGTGAAAAAGAAGCCACAGGTAAAACGTGCGATTGCATGTCAACCATTTATCAACTCATTTTTTTTAAAAAAAAAATTCGTCACATGCGATCCACAATAATGTGCAATGGAAGGCACAACAATGTGCTCTGGAATGGATAACACACTACAAAAAATGGGATATTTAACAACACACACATAGCGACAATTATATATAACCGCCGCGAGAATATATATTTAGTGGTGGTTGCAACGATGAGAGGAAGAGTTTGTTATTGATTGAATATCTAAATACAGAATGTGATAATACAAAATACAAGTAATGTAGTTGTTCATATACAATAGCTTACCAGTTAAGTCAAACTAATCCTGACCACATATATTCCTAATTACACTAACACACCCCCTTAAGCACAAGGTTGAAGGGAAACAACATTGAGATTTTCCCGTAAAAGCCCAAAACGTGGAGCCAGTAACGGCTTCGTGAAAATATCAACGCTTCTTTTCCTGAATAGGTTGTTGTGGTTTAGTGGTTATCACGTTAGTTTTACACATTAAAAGTCCCCAGTTCAATCTTGGGCACTGATGCATTTATCTTTTGCAGAGTTCCTTCCCAGTTATTATCTTGGGCATCAACATTTATCTTCTGTAGAGCTCCTTCCGTATCAACACATTTTAACGATGGAAGTTCATCTGATTTTGGGGGATAACTCAACAAATTTTTGCATAATTTCGTCTGTTGGCCTTCTTGAATCTTGATACGTGCAATTACCTGTCTATTGCATTTCTTGATTAACTATCAATTAACCGTTTTGATTCGAACCGATCACATCTTCTTGGTTAGGGTTGACCTTTGGCTTTCTTTTTTCAATTTCAGATCTTATTTATTTCAACTAGTTGGTGTGGTGTAGTGGTTAACATGTTAGTCTTACACATTGAAGGTCCTCAGTTCAATCCTAGGCATTAACATTTGCATTTATTTGTGTAATTTACTTAACATGAGGGTACACAACCTAGAGTACATTTATGTTCTGTGTGTGTCTTATAGTCTCACGAGAAGATGTTGTCTCACTCTAACATTAGCCTCGTTTGTTTATGTTTTTTTTTGGGGGGGAGGGGGAGAATTTGTCTTATTTTTTAAGGTTAATTGCGCCAAGGCAGTAAAAGAGCGAAAGTGACAACAAAAGGAAGCATGGAACAGGCCAATTAATAGTGTTTTGTGTTGCAAAAGCTATGCTTCGGTATTATTTAGTGATGGTGTTTCCCTCTAAAACGGTTATTACACTAGTTGATCCAACATTTTTGCCTTTGGTCATAGTTATACATTCTTGAAATATTTACTTTTACGAAAAAATTTGATAATCTTGCATTGATATACGTCATGATACCAAATGATACTTTATTATTTGATAAATACTGAAACACTAATTTAAAAATACACATTGAGCATTGCACTATTCGCGCAATACAACTAACGTAACTAGTATATATATAAGGGTTCAAGTGAAAAAGAAGCCACAGGTAAAACGTGCGATTGCATCTCAACCATTTATCAACTCATCTTTTTTTAAAAAAATATTGTCACATGCGATCCACAATAATGTGCAATGGAAGGCACAACAATGTGCTCTGGAATGGATAACACACTACAAAAAATGGGATATTTAACGACACACACATAGCGACAATTATATATAACCGCCGCGAGAATATATATTTAGTGGTGGTTGCAACGATGAGAGGAAGAGTTTGTTATTGATTGAATATCTAAATACAGAATGTGATAATACAGAATACAAGTAATGTAGTTGTTCATATACAATAGGTTACCAGTTAAGTCAAACTAATCCTGACCACATATATTCCTAATTACACTAACACACCCCCTTAAGCACAAGGTTGAAGGGAAACAACATTGAGATTTTCCCGCAAAAGCCCAAAACGTGGAGCCAGTAACGGCTTCGTGAAAATATCAACGCTTCTTTTCCTGAATAGGTTGTTATGGTTGAGTGGTTATCACGTTAGTCTTACACACTAAAACTCCGTAGTTCAATCTTGGGCACTGATGCATTTATCTTTTGCAGAGTTCCTTCCCAGTTATTATCTTGGGCATCAACATTTATCTACTGTAGAGCTCCTTCCGTATCAACACATTTTAACTATGGAAGTTCATCTGATTTTGGGGGATAACTCAACAAACTTTTTGCATAATTTCGTCTGTTGGCCTTCTTGAATCTTGATACGTGCAATTACCTGTCTATAGAATTTCGTGATTAACTCTCTATTAACCGTTTTGATTAGAATCGATCACCTCTTCTTGGTTAGGGTTGGCCTTTGGCATTCTTTTTTCAATTTCAGATATTACTCTTTTCAACTAATTGGTGTGGTGTAGTGGTTATCACGTTAGTCTGACACACTGAAGGTCACCAGTTCAATCCTGGGCACCAACATTTGCATTTATTTGTGTAATTTACTTAACTTGAGGGTACACAACCTAGAGTACATTTATGTTCTGTGTGTGTCTTATAGTCTCACAAGAAGATGTTGTCTCACTCTAACATTAGCCTCGTTTGTTTATGTTTTTTTTGGGGGGGGGGGGAGAATTTGTCTTATTTTTTAAGGTTAATTGCGCCAAGGCACTAAAAGAGCAAAAGTGACAACAAAAGGAAGCATGGAACACGCCAATTAATAGTGTTTTGTATTGCAAAAACTATGCTTCGGTGTTATTCAGTGAAGGTGTTTCCCTCTAAAACGGTTATTACACTAGTTGATCCAACATTTTTGCCATAGGTCATAGTTATACATTCTTGAAATATTTACTTTTACGAAAAAATTTGAGAATCTTGCATTGATATACGTCATGATACCAAACGATACTTTATTATTTGATAAATACTGAAACACTAATTTAAAAATACACATTGAGCATTGCACTATTCGCGCAATACACATGTCGTAACTAGTATATATATAAGGGTTTAAGTGAAAAAGAAGCCACAGGTAAAACGTGCGATTGCATCTCAACCATTTATCAACTCATCTTTTTTAAAAAAAATTCGTCACATGCGATCCACAATAATGTGCACTGGAAGGCACAACAATGTGCTCTGGAATGGATAACACACTACAAAAAATGGGATATTTAACGACACACACATAGCGACAATTATATAAAACCGCCGCGTAAATATATATTTAGTGGTGGTTGCAACGATGAGAGGAAGAGTTTGTTATTGATTGAATATCTAAATACAGAATGTGATAATACAAAACACAAGTAATGTATTTGTTCATATACAATAGGTTACCAGTTAAGTCAAACTAATCCTGACCACATATATTCCAAATTACACTAACACACCCCCTTAAGCACAAGGTTGAAGGGAAACAACATTGAGATTTTCCCCCAAAAGCCCAAAACGTGGAGCCAGTAACGGCTTCGTGAAAATATCAACGCTTCTTTTCCTGAATAGGTTGTTGTGGTTTAGTGGTTATCACGTTAGTTTTACACACTAAAAGTCCCCAGTTCAATCTTGGGCACTGATGCATTTATCTTTTGCAGAGTTCCTTCCCAGTTATTATCTTGGGCATCAACATTTATCTTCTATAGAGCTCCTTCCGTATCAACACATTTTAACGATGGAAGTTCATCTGATTTTGGGGGATAACTCAACAAACTTTTTGTATAATTTCGTCTGTTGGCCTTCTTGAATCTTGATACGTGCAATTACCTGTCTATAGCATTTCTTGATTAACTCTCAATTAACCGTTTTAATTAGAACCGATCATCTCTTCTTGGTTAGGGTTGACCTTTGGCTTTCTTTTTTCAATTTAAGATCTTATTCGTTTTAACTAGTTGGTGTGGTGTAGTGGTTAACACGTCAGTCTTACACACTGAAGGTCCCCAGTTCAATCCTAGGCATCAACATTTGCATTTATTTATGTAATTTACTTAACATGAGGGTACACAACCTAGAGTACATTTATGTTATGTGTGTCTTATAGTCTCACGAGAAGATGTCGTCTCACTCTAACATTAGCTTCGTTTGTTTATGTTTTTTTTTTTTGGGGGGGGGGGTGGGGGGGAAGGGGGAGAATTTGGTTTTATTTTTTAAGGTGCACTGCGCCAAGGCACTAAAAGTGCGAAAGTGACAACAAAAGGAAGCATGGAACATGCCAATTAATAGTGTTTTGTGTTGCAAAAGCTATGCTTCGGTATTATTTAGTGATGGTGTTTCCCTCTAAAACGGTTATTACACTTGTTGATCCAACATTTTTGCCTTTGGTCATAGTTATACATTCTTGAAATATTTACTTTTACGAAAAAATTTGATAATCTTGCATTGATATACGTCATGATACCAAATGATACTTTATTATTTGATAAATACTGAAACACTAATTTAAAAATACACATTGAGCACTGCACTATTCGCGCAATACACATGTCGTAACTAGTATATATATAAGGGTTCAAGTGAAAAAGAAGCCACAGGTAAAACGTGCGATTGCATCTCAACCATTTATCAACTCATCTTTTTTTTTAAAAATTCATCACATGCGATCCACAATAATGTGCACTGGAAGGCACAACAATGTGCTCTGAAATGGATAACACACTACAAAAAATGGGATATTTAACGACACACACAGCGACAATTATATATAACCGCCGCGTAAATATATATTTAGTGGTGGTTGCAACGATGAGAGGAAGAGTTTGTTATTGATTGAATATCTAAATACAGAATGTGATAATACAAAATACAAGTAATGTAGTTGTTCATATACAATAGGTTACCAGTTAAGTCAAACTAATCCTGACCACATATATTCCTAATTACACTAACACACCCCCTTAAGCACAAGGTTGAAGGGAAACAACATTGAGATTGTCCCGCAAAAGCCCAAAACGTGGAGCCATTAACGACTTCGTGAAAATATCAGCGCTTCTTTTCCTGAATAGGTTGTTTTGGTCTAGTGGTTATCACGTTAGTCTTACTCACTAAAAGTCCCCAGTTCAATCTTGGGCACTGATGCATTTATCTTTTGCAGAGTTCTTTCCCAGTTATTATCTTGGGCATCAACATTTATCTTCTGTAGAGCTCATTCCATATCAACACATTTTAACGATGGAAGTTCATCTGATTTTAGGGGATAACTCAACAAACTTTTGGAATAATTTCGTTGGCCTTCTTGAATCTTGATACGTGCAATTACCTATCTATAGAATTGCGTGATTAACTCTCTATTAACCGTTTTGATTAGAACCGATCACCTCTTCTTGGTTAGGGTTGGCCTTTGGCATTCTTTTTTCAATTTCAGATATTATTCTTTTCAATTAGTTGGTGTGGTGTCGTGGTTATCATGTCAGTCTTACACACTTAAGATCCCTAGTTCAATCCTGGGCATCAACATTTGCATTTATTTGTGTAATTTATTTAACATGAGGGTACACAACCTAGAGTACATTTATGTTCTGTGTGTGTCTTATAGTCTCACGAGAAGATGTTGTCTCACTCTAAGCTTAGCCTCGTTTGTTTATGTTTTTTTTTTTTTGGGGGGGGGGGGGGGGGTGGAGGGGGAGAATTTGTCTTATTTTTTAAGGTGCATTGCGCCAAGGCACTAAAAGAGCGAAAGTGACAACGAAATGAAGCATGGAACACGCCAATTAATAGTGTTTTGTGTTGCAAAAGCTATGCTTCGGTGTTATTCAGTGAAGGTGTTTCCCTCTAAAACGGTTATTACACTAGTTGATCCAACATTTTTGCCATAGGTCATAGTTATACATTCTTGAAATATTTACTTTTACGAAAAAATTTGAGTATCTTGCATTGATATACGTCATGATACCAAATGATACTTTATTATTTGATAAATACTGAAACACAAATTTAAAAACACACATTGAGCATTGCACTATTTGCGCAATACACATGTCGTAACTAGTATATATATAAGGGTTCAAG